TGGGATGTTACGTGCTAACAGCAATGGAGAAAAAGTAAATGTTGAAGGGAGTAAGGAGAAGGAGTGTTACAGAGAAATAAAAAAACCAGCTATTCAAGGCAGTCACTTGGGAGAGTAGGCACATTCCGTATAGCCACATGAGGCAGGACAAGGGAGTAAACAACGGGAGTAAATTACAGAAGGGCTGAACTTCTCAACTAATAGACCCATTCAGTGATGGAACTTTGAATAGAATAAGCACCTGCCTGATTCTGGGCATGTTTAAATAGAGCCAAGAGCTTACCATTGGCTGGAGGGTGGACTTTCTGTGTCACTTTCAGCTCTAAAAGTCAAAAGTAGAGGTCAAATTTGGCGAGAGAGAGCGCTCACACTGTGATGGGTTTTAAGGCAAACTTCTCTGGGAATCCCATTACTACCCTGGGAGGTATACATATTGGGGACTCTGGTAACTATTCTTAGATCAAGCTGTATGATGAATTCCTTGCACTTTTGTTTCCTTTTAATGCAATTAAATCAATGTTATATGTAGTTGCTCCTACAGCTACTTGCTTTTCTTCACATCACATTGTGGGAACAAAGAATTGCCAAATCAGACAAAGACTTTCAATTACACGGGGTTGGGGGATGAACCACCAGTAAGTAATCAGAAGTTGCTGATACAGGATGGCTTGTGTAAAGGGGTTTATTTCTGTTTTTAATATATATCAACGCATTTATTTTTTTTTTAATTTTGAAAAATGGACTCAGGTTCTTTAAAATAATTAGTAACATTGAATTTGCCTCCCCAAACTTCAAATAAATGTAGCATATTTTTGTATTTTTTTCCATTTATGTAGTATACATAATTAGGTTTGTCATCAAGACAGAAATACTGTTTAGAAAAAGAGTGATCTTAGAGATCACCTTGTCCAACACCCTTGCTTTAAAATTTAAGAGACTGAAATCCAGAAATGTAGAGGAACTTTCCCAATGTCAGACAGACCTTTTGTTGCCAAGCTGGAGCATAGTTTACTTAGAACCATTTCAGATATTTGAAACCAGGTATACTGCTGAAAGAATCTACCTTGCAAATTATAACCTATTTTTTTTTCAGTTATCAGGATGAAAACTCTTGGGTCCTAAAAAGTCCTTTTTGCTAGGGAATACCATTTTGGAACAGAGAGAGGTCCAGTTCTTATGGTTAGGAGCTGTGTCTACCACTGGCTACACCTGGAGGAAATTTTAGGCTGTCATAGGAGTTACTTGGAGGTAGGATTGTCTAAGCTAGGTGCACCCACAGTGCTTTGTCCAAGTTTCTCTTCTGTGGTTTTGACTTCTGAAACCACCTTGAATTGTGGTAGGATGATCCAAGGGGCTTTTTAACTCATCATGTTGTCTTCCTTGGTGGTCAAGGTGAAAGGCTTTTTTTCTTTGGAATGTCTAAGATCAAAGTTTCTTCCCCATAAAAGTAGAAGTTATTGTTTTCTGTTTACATGTTTAGATGCTATACAGCAGTAGCTACACTGTTTAGAAGATTTACCAGTGCACAATCTTGCTGTTCTTTCTCCCACGTTTCCCTACAGTGTTGATACCATTTGCTTAGGAACTTGATATTCAGGTTAGCGCCACAGAAATCCTCAATTCCACTTTGGCATTTCCACTCTCTTAAACACTGCTGCTCCTGGGAGGAGCTGGGATGTGACATTCTCTGCTGTCTCCCTAGGGAAAGGGACCAGGGAGGAGGCAAGCCAGGAACTGAGATACAATTCCTGCAGTCACAAGGGAGCAGCAAAGCAAAGAAGAATATATAGAAGGGCCAACTTAAAGTGAACAAGCTTGATCAAGGGTGTCCCTCCTTGCCAGCCACACCTAAGGGAATGGAGTTCACATTCTTCTTCAATTCACAGAGAATCAGATTTATTAGAGCAGCTTGTAAGAGCTTTCTTAGTACACAACCAACAGTGTCTGGCCCTTTGGGTGGCAAATGAAATATGAACACTGAGTTGTGTTGAACGTGGATGGCGTAGGTTCAAACATAAAGATGATTCTTCAGCTCTTGAGCACCAGGCACATAAAGCAACTTTGTAATGCCTCATTTTTCAAAGCCCACTTTTCAAGAGCTATGTTCTCTAAGTCCTGAAGCCCTTTTATTTCCACTGATTCAATAATACTCTAGTGGTTCAGATTTTGCCACCAATATCAAGCAGAAACAAAGCTGCAGAATTTTATTGCACAGTAAGATCTACTCTAAATATATCAATTATACATCATATACATTTTAATGGAATAAGCCAGAATAGTGCAAATTCAGTCTGCCAGGTGCTTGCACCTAATCATTTAATTAATATATGCAGAGTTTTATATTAAGTGAGTTTTTGGCTATTAAAACATTTTTGGGAGATGTTTCTAGTAACAGGCCTTTGGATGACATGAGGGAAGAACAAGCATACCCTTTATAAGCTTTATAATGAACATCTGTGTATGTGTGTGTGTACACCTGACCATTCTGCAGAAATAGAACTGTAGTCTCTAAACACATCATATGTACAATCAAGCCCTTTCCTAAAAGTAGTTCTCTTATGAAATTCTATACAATGATGATTTACAACTATATATCTCTTCCTTCACTGGATCTTAGAAGGAAAAAGAGATACAGTTAATAACATTTACCCCAAGCTTTCCCCTTTATGGAATCCAAATTTTCTGTATCCAAGGAGGCATGAGACAAAGACTCTTAGACTGGGAAAGTTAGTAAATATTTGGATTATGAGCTGTGCACACACATAAACATATCTCACAAAGAAACTTCAGTGGAAGGAGTTCCTAAAATATGTCTGGCAAATAAGAAAGTAGCTGTGTATGTGAATATCAAACTCCATATCATGTAATATTTAAGACATGTAAATACCTTAAATGATGCTCCCTATTTAGTTAACATTAAAACGTAACTTTCATTTCTGGGTTTGATCTTCCTAATTTTTTCTTAAGCAACTGAAGTGCAATAACAAGAAGTTTTCTTATCAGGGGACATTTTAAGTATATACCCTTTGAGGAATTCTATTTAAAAAACATATAAAAGCTTAACATCTTTCTATATATAATTTGTCTACATATATACAGCTTCTTATATAATAAAATGTTTATAAAATTTTAATTTCTTATGCTGTTAAGGTAAAAAAGGACTCATGACTGCTTGGTAACATAGCAGTTATTTTGGGGGCTCCATTGTTTATTTTTCCAATGTGGTCCTTGTTAGGCTGTATTTCTCAAACTCAATAGAAGTATCTTGCCTTCTCAACCGAGGTGGCTGCTGACAGCTAGTTACCTAAAGACATCATCATTTTACAAGAGAAACTCAACACAGAAGATATGATGGAAAGCCATTTTATTTTTCCCTAAATTTTAAAATAAACGATTTTAATGTAAAACTTTTAGTACCATCATGTCATCCTGCATGCCAGCAACACCTTCTCTTTTATACTTGTAGGAAGTCAGGTCAAAGTCCAGTGAGTATTCACATTTCTCCATTGCCTTTCAACAGTTTTGCAAGTACAGTTTTCTGCTATTTTGCTTTAGCAAATAGCAACGTAATTTAAAACTTTCGTGTCCCCTATGTGGCACCTAAAGTCCATGACTAAATTTATTAATACAGTTAGAAAAATAAAAGCCTTAAAAATTTATGGTATGAGTTCACTGTGCTAATCACATAATCTTTTCAAGTGTAATAGTATCATTTAAAAAATTTCTACATAACAACTTTCTAGTTTAATTTGAAAGGCTTAAGATTTGAACTCTAGTAAGACTGTTAAGTCAATGTATTATAAGAACAATTATTTGATTTAATTTTTATTTGCCTTGGGAGAGTTAATTTCCATTGTCCACTGAATGAATGCCTTTCAGATATTAATAAACATATTACAGTATTTACAAGCATTCTTATCTACTCTGACACTGACAGAAAGTTAAGCCACAAGGAAGAAAACAAAGATCTCCCAACTGGGTGAGTTCATGAGGTGTATGCGACAAAAGCAGTGGGTCGATGCCTGAGCCTGGAGGGAGCCGGAGTAAGAGTTTGGGGATGTGCACAGGGAGGATCACTCAGGTGTGTATATGAGGTCTAAGACATATCAGGCTCCAACTGAGACCAGCTAGTACCCAACAGTTTTGATGCCAGTAGATCGGAAGTAAATGTCAAATAGCTGGAAACCAGGACAAAGGGGAACACTGTACAGGTATGTTATTTCAGTAATAAGAGGAAGATAGACCCGAGGTCAGACTAAAGATTGTAAGCCCACATTCTACAAGCTATTAATGAATTACTCTCTGGAACTTACCTAATTTAGTTGAGGTGTTTGGTATGTGTCATGGATAAGAAAAGGTTAAATGCAAGAAATTATTTTGGCAAAAAAAGTGATACTAATTTGATTTCTATGATTTTAACTATGCGCATGTGCCCTTTTCTTACACTACTTTCTGCAAATTGTCTCATGCAGACATACCATTCATGTGACCTCTTTAAAGCACTTGGCAAACCAATGCTGTTGAAGAATTTACATTCTAAACCTCTGGTAAGAGGTGATCATAATGCCCAAATCATCCTATATGAAGAACTGAAGTCAAAAATTTGTTCACACACTTAGATTTTGAGTACTGGGAAAAAAACCAAGTGCTAGATATTTGCTTTATGAATGTGGATGAACTTTTAATTTGCGAGGGTTTAGTTTCTTATGTTTAAATAACACTGAACTAGTCATTATTTTAAAAAGCACTCTATCCCTGGTCAGTCATCAAATACTATTCCCTCTGCCTTGCACCCTTCCTTGGAAGTCATTTAAAGGCTCATGCCTGAGCTTTCAAACTTTCTACCGTCTTGGGTGGAGAGATTAAATCGATTCACCTAATATAAATGTTTAAAGCTTTTAAGCAAGAGTCTTTAAAAGGATTTAAACATTTGTATAATCAATAAGGGTTTTCTGGTGGCCCACTTTTACATGCAAATACAGACAAACTGTTAACATGCATTATTTTAGTCAATTGGTAAAGTTTATTTCATAGTAATTTTAAGTCATTTACTAAATTGTAAATTTCAGTCCATTAAAAACCACTATCAGAGCAGTTTTGAGGTATTACTGTTAATTTAATGTGGAAATGTTACTATATTTTGATATGGTATGAAATGTGACTGTCATGCCTTGTATTAAGTGGTGTTGTCATATTGTCGACTACAGATGTGTCTTATAGTTTTTAGGAAATTGTTGTGCATGTGCATTAATGATTTTTCAAATGTTAATGGCAATTTGATCGGTTGGTCATTTCTAAGCATACCAAAGTAATAAAGTGTAGTCCATGGTATGGGCCAAACAAGCTGAGAAGTTTCAGGTATACAGTGTTATCCTCCAACATACCTTTAGCAAAAATCCACCCTACTTGCTCAAGTTGTTTACAAGGAAAGCTTGTGCAAAAAGCATCCAAAAGACTATCAGCAGGTTAATTATCTAGTAATTTTAAAAGAACTAGACAGTATTTTTTCTTTTAAAATTCATTTATAAAAATAAATATATTTTAGTTTGAGACCTTAACTACTAAATTGTGGCCTGATTTAGTTATGATGGCTAGATTATAAAGTTATGAAAAACATACTTGAAAATATATGAGTTCCAGCTCATTCCCCACAGCGTGGGCAATAGCTGGCACCCTATGCTGTTAAAACCCTTTATATAGTTAACTGAAACACACTCAACCTGTTGACAAACGGTTAGTCTTCCTTTGTCCCGAAATTCCCACAAAACTTTAATTCTTAGACCTCCATTATAAAACTACAAGTAACCATAATACATGCAAGATAGGGAGTGACAACCTGGCGCCCACTCAGGAGATACTGATCCACTGCACCAGGCCACTGCACGAGGCCAAACACAGTAGCTCAGAGGAAATGGTCACCCGCTTGGATGTACAGCTTATTCAGATGTTTTGCACTAAAATGTAGGCATTAAGTCTTTATCTCAGAGCAACAAGTTAAAAATCAGTTTGATAGTATGAGCAAGTCCTTCTAGGTTTTGTGCTGTGAGATGATAAATAGCTTGGGCCCCACCCCCAGGTATCTGGTGTGAGGCAGGGCTCTGGATCACTATGTACATTAGATAGGAACACTGTCAGGTGGAAGTGCCAATATGACTTACTGCTTAAAACTGTGCTAACATCTGCACCTTTGTAGGCTGATTTCTCACACGAGAAGCTTTTTTGCCTTAGTCAGAAAATTATTTGAGAAACAGTAAGGAACTGAACTAAGGAAAAAGCTTCTGGCCTCCAAATCTACACATACACAAAGGTAAGTTTCAAACTATTGTCCTCTCAGTGCAAATGAGCAATAGGCTGACCTGTCACATATCATCAACTGATATGAACACAGCATTCAGTCTGTGGAACAATTTGATGCAGCAAAAACCTGATCTAATGCAAATCAAGCCTATTAACAAAAACCACAGCAAGGAGAGACAGTCCAGCCTAGTGTTGTCCTTCACTAATGCTGACTCTGAACACAAAAGCAATTGAAAGGCACAGGGCTCAGATTTCATTGATAGTCCTCTCTGAAGGGCAGTATTCCGAGGGGCCTGGTGAGGACATATAGAAAGACTGTGTTTTCCTTTTTAATCGGGCTCTCTTGTTGGCCAATACCAGGCTACGCCGGCTTGAACTGATGATTTCCGAAATAAACTTTTTGCAGTCTACACACACCTCCATAGTACTCCAGTCCTCCATTAACTCTTTGGGAAACTGTAGTTCTTCATCTGATTTGTCCACAGACTTAGATTTTGAGGAGAACCTGGAAAAAACCCAAATGTTTAAAACATCTAGTACTGTTATTCATAGTTCTACTGTAATACTAAGATAACCTGTTGCAAAAACATTATGGAATGGTGAATGATTTAGTCATGTTGTATTCTTTCAAAGAATTTCTAATTGGAGACAGGGTTCCAAATATTTTTAAAAAAATAAACCAGGAAACATGTTTTATTAAGAAATAATACTGAAAATTCTCAGCATCTCTTCTAGAATTTGTAGAAAGTAGGATATTCAGATCATATATGTGTGTGTGTGTGTGTTTGTGTGTGTGTATATATATATATATATCATGAAATTTAACAACTAAGATGAATAAAGTACATGTTGCTAAAATCCTATTGATGACTCAGAAGGGATTTCATGTTCTTTCTCCAGTGACCCCGTGTCATGGTTAATAAACATTAGTTATCTGTACATGGTAGGTCAGATGATAGGAAACTGAATTAAATTTATCTTAATCCTATGACACATCCTCAAAAATTATCTGTGGGTCAACTTCCTTGTAATTTCTGTATTTGTCAAATATGCTTCTCCCTCTCCAATGATTCTCTACATTTGAGTGGATGATTATTTGGATTCCAGAGAGCTGGAGTTAACTAAACCAACATCATAACAAATGTTTCGGTTAATTTTTTGAAATACCTAGGAATCACCTATTCATTTTATCATTTTAATTGAACCAAACAGGAAGGCTCACAGGAAGTACAGAAAAGGACACTAGATTATTATTTGCACTGCCTTGAGCCCACAAATCATCAGGGAGCAGGAGTGTCTCAGAGCAGAGTTGAAAACACAGGACAAGCAGTCTCGGGCACAAGTTACTCACTGGGCTCACAACTTCCTTGCCTCATTGACCACAGAGCCATGACCTGCAGAGTAGCTGCCAACTGGCATTCGGTATCAATGCCAGTGTTCGCCCTGCCCCCCTCATCTCCAGTAGGTAGGTGGCTGGTGCAGCAAACCTTAATCGTCTCAGGCCTTGCCAGTGTGTGACCTGAGCTGGCCTGAGCTCCTTCCATCTTAAGGACCAACGCTAACCTTACTCTGCATTAAATGCAAAGGGATTGATATTCAGGGAATTTTTTTTCTTTTAAGTTGCCAGCTCTTGGCATAAAGCTTTATTTCTGCCTTTACAATAGGAAACTAAATTGCAGACCATTGTAAACATAGGATTAAACAGATTTTCTTTCAAAACTAAAGAAGGAAGGAAAGATTAGACTATTATATGTAAGTTTTCAACTCCAGTGAAAATAAGGGCAGATTTAAAGATGACTTCTAAAGGACACACAAAAGCAATTAAATCTAAATAGAAATAAAAATAAACTGTGAGAGTAAAGTATCCTTTAAGTAGCTAACTATTATTTCCTGACAAGTTACCTTTCGGAAGTTTGAGATTTGTGTGCAAGTCAAAACTACATTAAAATCGATCAACCACCCCCAACCCCCTCAACCCTAAACCTTGCCACATCACCACAGTCCTCAAAAGGAGCATTTGAAGATCTAGGCCTCTCACTCACCTGGCGATGCTCCGAAGTGGTCGATGGTGGCTAGTGGAGGGTTTTTCTGGCCTCACAGAACTTTCCCCTCTTTGCGAGGCAGAAGGTCCCAATGAAAAGATAGGAAGAGTGGAGTATGGTTTGGATGGCAGCCGCATCTATTATCCCAAATAAAACTGAGAATGAGCAGTGCTGTTAAAAAGGCATTCCATTAAAATTATTACGTTATAATTTCACCAAGATTATCTTACCTTTTTGCAACACTGTGAGCACACGGGCCTGTATACAAAATCAGAAGTATTACTTGGCATGATACCATAGATGCAACTGGAGAGTTAAAGAGGCCAATGGCTACATGGTTGTGAATTTCTACAATAAATTGCAAAAACTCTCTGTATCTTCTATCAGAATATAACAAACTGATATAACTATGGATTGCCAAAAAGATAACCTGTAAAACTTAATTCTTACACTATTTCCTATAAAAAGGATCAACTTACATCTGGAATTTTCTTATTGTCTATCCAAGGGCCATATGACAACCACATCTATTTTTTTCTGTTCAAATATGACATATTATTATTAGAATTATCTTGGTTATGTAAAAGAAATAAATGCAGGGAAACATTTTCCAGGTTTAACACCCAATAATTGTTTGATCCACTCTTTTGGAAAAAACCAGTATTCCTAACCCACAAGTATAGCCCAATGTAATAATAATTTTAATAATGTTCCTGCATAGAAAAATATGAAACAATGAAGTTAACTGATATTTATCGACTATTATCATCAATTACAAAAGACCTTACCTCTTACAGAACTGACAGGTATAAGACCAGGTGAAGAAGGAAAATCTCCTGGTTCGGCAACAAAAGCAAAGCTAAAAAATACAAATGTAAAAGGAAAAAGAAAAAGCATCGCCAAAAATGAATTTCCTAATTTATATGGTTGAATCCACTTTAAACTTATACACTGGGGAAGTTTAGTACACAGGAGGAAGAAGTGAATTCAGATACGCTGTTTTATGTTTGACTCTGTGATAATTATAATATGGCTCTGTATTTAGTTATAATTCTCCTTTTAAAACTAATAAAAGGCCACAGCTCTCTAGAGTGTCACTGTCATGGAAGCAATCAGAAGAAGGTTCTGAAAAAGTCTCCCCTGTATAACAACTAAATGCAGACATGGCTATGTGAAGGCTTACCATTATTTATTATGATTGTTTCAAACCTTCCAGAGTTTTGATTTCTAAGTGAGAAAATACTCACTTTGGTGAGCAAGGCAGAACAGGAACTGACTTCTGGAGAATAAGCCTCTTATCTCCTAAAATCTACTAAAGGTCCTGCACCATCTGACTGGCACATAGCTCCCTCAGGAGACCATGCCTGTGACTGACCATTCTGCTAACCCTGCCGATCAATCAACTGTAAATAGCTCTACCTTTCCTTTTTTCAGGGCAGTGTAGACATCTTTATATTGTTGGTACTTTTCCAGCTCTGCCTTCACCAGGACCTGACGAATATGCATCACTTCCTCCACAGTAAGAGCTAGGCATTCCACTGGATAGCAGAATTCCTCCTGAAATTCAAAATTCCACATGAATAAGAAACTCCCACCCCCTTTTCTGGCATTGTAATATTCCCCTTCAGATCAGACATCTGGTTAGTAGCCTCAGAAAACAAAAGAGGTCCCAATAAACACTGGCTTACTCTGGGGACCACATAATTTCTAATGACACCAAGATGACAGATGGCAGAAAACTTTGGGGACCAGATAAAACATTGTAGCCTATTGAAGTTTCCAAAACATAAAAGCTCCTCACATTTGTTTAGCTATGTATCTGTGCACTGAAATCTTGAAAAAAAAATTTATTGTTCTAAACCAAATTTATGTCAGTTGTCTCCTATGATTATGCAAAGATATTATTTAGTATTGTATGGTATATGCAGATAGTCAACATTGGACTATTTTTAAAACTGGTTTGTGGTACCCAGAATAGCCAAAGAAGGTGGTTAGTAATTTATACTGAGAAGCATAGTGGTAAGTTACATCAGCACACCTTGAAAAATTCTAATGGTGTGATTGGAGATGGAACATGTAACTACTGGTGCAGTTTACAGCCAACAGGCAATCTCCACAGGCTGTCTCCTAGTTCTCCAGATTTCTGTTATTACTTTTAAACAGCTACTGAATGCACAGTCAGCATTGGAAAGATGTGGAAAAAATCAGAATTTCACAATAAATATTTATGTTGACTGTCTTATGTTAATAGTTTCCCTAAAACCAGCTGAGGAAGATGTTGATGTAACTGATTCCACTGAATAAAGAGCCTCACACCCATCTGCTCCCCATCCAGGCTGCTCCTGATTGGTGGATCTAACAGAAAGACAGAACAGTCTTGTGCATTCGCACCCTGCCAGGCCTCACAAGGGCCATTGTGGTGTAGTGACACTGAAACTTAATGCTCTCAGTACAAACACATTATAATTCACTCCCACACACACACAATAGCACTGCTCACAGGAGTTCTGGAATCAAACAAGCCAAATGAGAAAGCACATGACTATGAATGCAGTTTTAACATTCAGTTCTGTCTTTCAATCAGAGAAAACCAAAAACAAATTTAGGTTGCAAACTTGAGAAACATTAGCATTTACTAAAAAAAGTAGTTTGAAGAACTACAGATGTTTACTAATAAAATCATTTTTATTCAAGTTAATTTAAGGAAGGTTAAGTTTGTTTAAAAATGTTTTGGAAAAAAATCCTGCAATTGAATTTTTAAGATGAAAAACTTAGTATTTGGAGGCTGGGAAGATAGATTCTTCAGAGAGACTGTATCATTTACTCTAAGATGTCTAAAATCCTTTTTTTTAAAAAAAAAAAAAAATCACCATCATATAATTTTCTCTTTCAATAGGAAAGCTTTAAAAGATAATAGGATTAAACTAGCACATCTAATATCTACTCTGTTTTGCTCTATCCTGAGAAAAAGAGTTTAGTGTCAAATGGGACAAGGCACTGACTCGGTCTAAGGCCATTAAAACTGCACGAGGTAAGTATTGGTTGGCTACACACAACTGAATGACAGCTTTTTTGAGCCATGACTATATTTCACAGAACTTTTCCTATAGTTACTTTCATTCATCAGTTATTATGACTGTGGCTACATTTTCTGACAGTGATCTCTGTGACTAAATTGTTGACTTGGAGCAAAATAATGTGTAAATCTAGCAAATAACCAGATAATCACTACTGAGATTTATTGTTGTGCACGCCAGAAAGAGGGCAAGTAGTGCCAATTTAATTAACTTTATAACTTGGATGCCTGGGCTAGTAAATATTTCTCTACTCTCTCCTCAGCTTTAAGTCACACAGGGCTTAGTCAATCATACTTTCAACTGACTGCATTGAATCATATGTAAATCCGGTACTTCATAGAATATAATAAGAAATAGTGGATTTTTTGTTTGTGTTCTTTTTCCTTTCAAAAATTTCAAGTAGATTACTCTTTAGTAAGATAGTTTCCATCAGGACAAATGCTAATGTTTTAATTCTGGTGCTTTCCCAAGGACAACAAAACTTTAATGCAACATGAAAGAAAATAATAAAGAGTTACTAGAATAGTTTTTATTATTTTTAACTGACAAAAAATATTGATTCAACATCCCCAAAGCCAAATGAAACTTTAACAGATCTTGCAGAGATAGTAATGCTCCAAAACATAAGGAGCACTCAGGGTTTTAACTGTGAGCAAGTGCCCCCTTCCCCATGGTGACACGGGGCTGGGTCACTCCTATATAGCAAGCACTAAGCTCATTGTCAGGGTGAGACATGGACTATAAAGACTAGATCGGCACAACTCTAATTCTCTTGTTTCGCTGTGCTTCAGAATGACTCTCATATCTAGGAAAGGGATGCTAAATCTTAAAGTGTTTTGATAATGATAAAATATGCAACAGAAGCAGGTGTGCCTTTAGAATTTACTTTTATATATGTCACTAAAGTCACAAAGTTTTGTTGAAGATTTTGGTTTTATTTACCATTCAAAAGGGGTCAGAATTAGGCAGTACAGAAATTACAGAGCAAAATGTGTAATCTGGTTATTGAGCCACAGAGAGAAATGGGAATAGCCACATTTTATACATTGTTTTTGATCAGCACATTTCATAAATAAGTAGCAGATACTTAAAAATTGTCCAAAACAATAATTATTTTTTGAATTTTTAAACTAAAAAAGGCAGATTTAAATAAAAATAGCAACTATTAAGTTTAATCACTTTTTCCTTTTTCCAAGTTTAACTTTAAAATTCCAAGTGAATTCTTTGCTTAAAATAGTATGTGGATTTAGTATACAGGGATCTGTGTTTGGAGAGGACTGATAACAAAAATAAAAAAGTTGATAGATCTTCAGTATAACAGGAGTGACAGGAGTTCAAATGCCATCCCTGCACTTGGCGGTGATATCCTACTGGCAAGATCTAAAAATGGGAAAAAGATGAGTCTTATTCTATATTTCATGACAAACAGGGAAAGGCATTTGTTTTTTCTCATTTATAGTCACAGTTTATTTTCTAAATCAAGATGGGTAATAATGAATAACAAAGAAACTAGCTGCTGGTTCATTTGTCAAATATGTGTTTAGTAAATAAGTGACCCTGCATGAGGTGGAACAGACTGGAGCAGGGGGAGCTTCACTATGGTCCTAGGGCGTTTTACTTCACTGGGGTTTGGAAATTATTATACTTTCCTTAAAAGACACTCTATATGAAAACCTCAAAAACAATAATAAAATGTAAGATTATTTAAAATATTTAAAATAATACAGATGATGTGTTCTAGACTTGTAACCTGAAACCTATATAATTTTATTAACCAATGTCCCCCCCAATAAATTCAATAAAAAAGAAAAAATAAAATATTTAAAGTAACCACAATGATAAAAAGAAAACTTAAAAGTTCTTCTCTGCAGAGAAGTGGGCTGTCATAAAAACCACATAACACCCTGACCGGCACAACAGAGCTTTATGAAAGGTGCTGGGGAAGAGAAAGATGTCTGAGTTCAGGGGAGATACATGCTACAGGCACACAGCCCCTTAAAGCTCAGGGCGGAGTGTGTGGGACACAGGCAATGACATGGCTCTGTGGGAGGTAGAGTCCCCTGTAGCGACTCAGCCTGGCAGGTAGCGAGTGTGCCTCTCATGACAGGAGGCCCTGGGATGAGAGCACCTCAAGGGCTCTCAGAGGCAGCATTCCTCCTGCTATAAAATTGGGTTGCTCAGAGACAAACACTCACAGGTCCCTATAATCTGATGCTGCATTTTGAGTTTGTTGTCCTTTCAAAGTTATTTTCCTCTCAACTGAGATCATGGTGTGATCTATGCATCCTACAAAAGATTGGAATCAATGATCAGAAGCAAAGTGCCCATCTAAGCTGTTAATTCTTGCAGAGTGAAGGAGTTGAGGTATCACTGTCAAAGAGATAGAGTAAAATAAATTCCCAGAGCCAGCAGAAAGAGGCCAACCTTTGAGGATTTCCACCTGCTGGTAAAAGCTCTCTCACATAGATAATACATAGCCCCTGCTACCCCAAACATGGCTGCTTCAAAAGGATGAGAGCTGAGCAGAGAAGCTGTTTGTATGGTAGAAAAAAGTGGTCGGAAAGGCGTCCTTGGCCATACACTGGTTATCCTAGGAACCTGAACAATAGATAAGGAAAAAAGAAAATGGCAGGGGGAAAAGAAAAGGAGAAAATAACGCTGAACACGAGTGACCTACAAATAGTGATTATATAGAGCATGAAAAACGAAACAAAACAAAAACACCACACAGGACATTCATGGTAGACTCCACAAGAGCGTTCATGCCAACATCTATACCCATATGTATAAATCGGTAATCAAACCATGAAGTCATTCCTAGAGAACTTCAAAGTTTACACAGCAAGGACTTGAACTTAAGATTTTCTAACTGGTCAGGAACACTGAGCTTCCTAAATCAGGCATGATGGGATGCTGGAGAGGGGCAACTGCCTGCTGTGCCTGCATGTGGGGATGTGCACCCAGCAGGCACTTGCTCCCCCAGGGAAGGCACTGAAAGACAAGCAGCCTTTCACTTAGATGGGCAATCACCCTCATATATTTGACTAAGTGATGGGAAAAAAATTACATTTTTAAAACATCCTAAGGAAAGGCAGAGGGATACAATAAAAATTAGTGGATAACAACAAAGGCATTTCCACCGTTTTCAGTAAAGGGATTACAAATACAAAATTATTCTGTTTCTAAAATACAGCAAAAAATTTAAATTATCATACTTTAAAAACAATACAAGCTAGAGGGTACTACACACAGAAGTGTGACTTAATGGATAAACTGAGATAATCTACTAGCAAGAAATGTCACTACTTGGCTTGGATGTTATTTTGTTTCAGCTGGTGCCTAGAGGTATTTGCAGTGAGCCCAGTTCTGTATGAAACCTGACACCATCTATATTGCCCAGAGGCGCTCACCCACTGCCTTTCACTAAGACCCTTCTTGGTGACTGCAGATTGGTTTTACTCTGCTCTCTTCATGAATAAACCAACCTACAGCCTGACCAACCAAATGCTGAGAGTTTCCCTTTGCCAGGAAAGTTACTTTACTTCATGGGCCCTTGATGAGGACTGTTAGTTTTTCTTGGCAAAAGTGCTATTACCACCTGAAACTCCTTTGTAGTTGATCTGATAGTTGATTGATTTTAAAATTTAAGTCTAACCTCAATAATGTCATATGATAGCAAGGCAGGTACCTACCTAAATGATAAACTGGCTTCTAGGAAAATCCATGGGACAAGAACTTAATTATTGGACTTGTAAAAACAAAATCACTAGGGAGTTCCCTTTTACATATTTAAGTTGTGACAGTAACTGTTTATTTTGCTAAAGCAATAACTTATTCACATTAACAAAAGTCTTCAGATTTTAAAGTCTAAACCTGGTCGGTTAGAGTTCTGTTTTCCTGCTATGTTTCATCAACTATCATCAGTGTTTCAGCGATTACTTAGGAATTAACAGAAATCCTGTCAGGAATTGCCGTAAAAATCATTAATTCTTTAATCGTATTGTTTGGGAGCAGAGATGGCTGATCAAATTTCAACACTGTAAAATCTGTTCAAACTCACTATCTTCACAATAATTACACTATCTCCCTCTACTTTGAGTGATTCATCACAGCTGAAAACTACAGATTAAGCATATTTCAGTGCTTTTTATTTATGAGTATCTGAAAAAAAATTAGATGTTAGGTTGCCAGTGGAACTGTTGGTTGAAGCCTTGCATCTTGCCTGGAAATGTTCTGAAGTCAAGTGGGACTACAAAATAACCTTTGTGGAGCTCCTTTGGCTGGTGGATCTGGCAATGCCATGTGTCCTGTGTCCCACTGTTCTGAGGAATGAAAGGCCATTACAGGAATCCAAAAATCTCTGGAAAATAGCAAAAACTTTCAACCAGTCCAAACAGCAGCTTTGGCTCCAAAATATACTGGGAAACAATAAAAAATGGTTTTTAATGGATCAACATTCTCTCCTGGTACTTCTGCCTTAATAAACCGGTCTGCTGTAGCCAGACTTTTCTAAGTTTTTTTGATTAGTTTTAACAATTTTTAAAGTGGATTAATAACCTTTGAAAGGAAGAAAATGTTTCTTTAATAATCCATACTTTCAACCATTGGTAAGTCTTCTGAAAAAAAAAAAAGGTACTGTATATGCATAAAGAATTGCCAAATTTCACTTAGGTTGCTGTTAGGGTGGTTTTCTTTAGCTATTAAAAACAACTAAGGTTATTTTAAATTCATTCTAACCTTTGGAACTTTTTTCTCTTAATCACCATCTCAAGAATGCTAAGGATTCTAGGTCCTCTAACTGATACTTTGGTGACTATGCAGTCTTTTAGTTACTTACAAGAGACCGGGAGCTCTGCTTGGATGGTGGCAGAAACTGTCTCACATTAGTAGGCGTTTCCTTTTCAATGGAATGTCGCCTCTGAGGTGGCTGCCGTCTCTCTGGCTGGGGTGTTGATGATATGGGCAAGAATTTTGGAGGTGCTAAAGAAATGAATTAATCAAATAAAATAAACTTTCTTACTGTGAGGATTGTTATAGAAGAATCTTTGCAAGATAAACTTGCTACAGAAACTGCAAGAAAAAAAACCACTTCGTTTTTAATATTAATTCAAATTCATACATAAGAACACAGTATAAGTATGGTCTCAAATTTGTACATACAAATGCTCTCCTAAATCATACTAAAATTCTTTTTAATTTTTTTAATTTTTCAATTACAGTTTACATTCAGTATTATTCTGCATTAGTTTCAGACAGACAGCATAGTGGTTAAACTATAATGTACTTTACAGTGTGGCATACCAAAATCCTTAAATGTTCCCTCCTTAACATTTTCATTTAAAAAAAGAAGAAATATGAAAATCCTTCTTGATGTTTATCAAGACAGTCTGTCCTTAGATTTAAATCAAGCTGTATTTAAATTTCAAAAAATAAACTTCAGCTTTGTACTACTGTTCTCTGCCTAGAATTTTGGGACTTCATTTAAAAGAAGAATGTTTTATGGTTCAAAAGGCTCTGGATTCACATTGTGAAAACATGAGACCATTAGAAATAAAATATACTGTCAGAGTTTTATTTACTAGTTTCTCCTACTCTCTCTGCAAAACAGTAAATGCTTCAATGTAGTGATTGAGGAAAGTGAAAGTTAACACAAAGTTAAATATGATTCATCTATTTGGACTGTCCCACCAAGAGAAATTACTAGAGGAAAACAAAGAACATAATTTCCATACTCACGAAATAAAGAAAATAACCAAGATGAGCTCCTATAATTTTTGATATAATCTGTTTAAATAAATCAAAATACTATTTAAAGAATTTTAAACACTAAAACCTCTATGTATACAGAAAATCAAGGCAATGTTCTACGAAGATCTTAATACATTTTTTTCTTAGAAAGTTTTAAAATTGCAGTACAATACATATAACATAATATTTACCATTGTAACCATTTTTAAACATACGATTCAGTGGTATTGAATACTTCACATGGTTGTGCAACTATGATGATCATCCATTCTCATAATTCTTTTCATTGGTAAAGTTGAAACTCCATACACATTAAACAGTAAGCCCTGGCAACTACCATTCTACTCTCTGTCTATATTATTTTGACTAAGAAAATAAGGTAAGTGGAATCATACAATATTTTCTTTACAGTGAATGCCTTATTTCATTTAGCATAATGTCCTCAAGGCTTATCTGTTGTATCTATTACAGAATTTCCCTTATTTTTAAGGCTGAATAATATGCTATTGTATGCACAGATCTCATTTTGCTTATCCATTCATCCATTGATGAACACTGGGGTTGCTTCCATGTTTTAGCTAGTGTGAATAATGCTCTTATGAACATGGATGTACAAATACCTCTTTGAGACTTGCTTTCAATTCTTTGGGTATATAGGGTAAGGGTAAGCTTCCTCACCCAGATGCTTGGGTAACTATGGGGAGCAGCATCTCACAACCTTGGAGTCTGATAAAGCAGCGCTCTCACAGCCTTGAGTCTGGGTCTCATGGCCTTGAGTGTGGGTGCGATAAACTGTCTCTTAGCCTTGAGTAGGCTTGCACATGCAGCTTATGCTAGGTTACCTCACTTTTTGGCCTGAGGTTGGTTTTGTTCCTTCTAGTACTTAAGGAGGTAGCGACTTCTCACTGGGGGCGAGGGAGTCATGGCGCCTACACAGAAACGGGCTTGTGGCTTGTGTGACTCCCAAATAAAGGCACGTGAAGCATCCCCATGGCTCCACACATTTTCTTCCATCTACCTGAGTCTCGAGTGGACCTGCCCAGCCTAGGAAGGCTGCAACACAGGGTATATGGCTAGAAGTAGCATTGCTGGATCTTATGGTAATTCTGTTATTACATTTCAGAGGAATCATGAGTTTTCTACAGCACCTCTACCACTTTATATTCCCACCAACAGGGTGCAAGCAAGCATTCTTTCCAATTTTTCTACATTCTCACCAACACTTACTATTTTCTGTTCTTTTTTTTTTTTCTTGATGGTACTCATTCTAATGGATTTGAGGTGATATCTCATTGCAGTTTTGATAAGCATTTCTCTAATGACTGGTAATGTTAAAAATATTTTCATGTATTTATTGGCCACTTGTATACTGTTTGGAGAAATGTTTGTCTTACTTTAAGGCCCTTGATTCATTTTGAGTTAAATTTTGTAAATGGTATCAGGTAAGGGTCTAACTTTATTCTTTTGCATGCAAGTATCCAGTTTTCCCACCACTATTTCTGGAAAAGACTATTCTTTCCCCATCACATGATCTTTGCACATCTGTTAATTATGTGATCCTATATGTGAGGGTTTATTATGGGCTCTCTATTCTATTCCATTGGTCTATATGTCTCTGTTTATGCAAACACTGTACTGTTTGGATTGCTATAACTTTGTGGCAAATCTTATTATCAGGAAATGTGAGTTCTATGGTTTTGCTCTTCCTCTTCAAGACTATTTTGGCTATTCAGGTTCCCTTAAGATTTTGTATGAATTTTACAATTGGCTTTTTAAAAATTTCTGCAAAAAATGTCATTGACATTATGATAGGGATTGCATTCAATCTAAAGATTGCTTTGGGTAGTACTGACATTTTAACAATATTAAGTCTTTCAATCTATGAACATGAAATATGTTTCTATTATGTCCTCTTTAATTTCGCTTAGCAATGCTTTACAGTTTTTAGTGAAAAAGTCACTCACTTTCTTGATTAGGCCTAAGTGTTTTATTCTTTTGATGCTATTATACATGGAATTGTTTTTGTAATTTCCTTAATTTCCTTTTCAGATTGTTCATTGCTCATGCATAGAAATGTAACTGATTTTTGTGTGTTGATTTTGTAGTCTGCTGCTTTGCTGAATTCATTTATTCTAAGAGTTTATTTGTGTGTGTGCGCGTGCATGCGTGGGTGAAAACCTCAGGGTTTTCTACATATAAGATCATATCCTAAATGGTAATGGAAAATACAATAAAGATTAAATTAAATTTTAAAAAAGATCATATCATCTGCAGAAAGATAATTTCCCCCCTTCTTTTCCAGTTTAGATGCCTTTAATTTCTTTTTCTTGCTGAATTGTTCTGGCTAGAACTTTCAGTAATATGTGAATAGAAGTGATGAAACGAGGTATCATTGCTTTGCTCCTGATCATAGAGAAAATACTTTCAGTCTTTCACCACAGAGTATAATGACTGCTGTGATCTCTTATTATGTCGTAGTTTTGTTCTATTCCTTGTTTGTTGAGTATTTTTATGGTGAAAGGCTGTTGAATTTTGTCTAATGCTTTTTCTGCATCAATTATGTGGTGTTTTCCTTCATTCTGTTAATGTGGCGTATTATACTGATCACTTTTCTATTTTTTTAAATTATATTTTATTGACTATGCTATTACAGTGCTCCCAATTTCCCCACTAAGCCCTCTTCCACCCAGCTTCCCCTGTACTCCCTCAGGCAACCCTCACCCTATTGTCCATGTCCATGGGTCATGCATATATGTTTTTTGGCTGCTCTATTTCCAATGCTGTAGTTTACATTCCCATGACTATTCTGTAACTACCAATTTGAACTTCTTAATACCTTCACCTATTTTGCCCAATGCCCTCCTACCTGGCAACCATCAAAATGTTTTCTATAGCTATGATTCTGTTTCTGTTCTGCTCGTTTATTTTTTGTTTTTTAGATTCAATTGTTGACAGATACGTATTTTTTGCCATTTTATTGTTAATATATTTTATTTTCTTCTACTTCTTAAGGAAGACCCTTTAACATTTCATATAATGCTGGTTTTGTGGTGATGTGCTCCTTTAGTTTTTTCTTGTCTGGGAAGCTCTTGATTTGTCCTTTGATTCTAAGTAATAGCTTTGCTGGGCAATCTTGGTGTTAGGTCCTTGCTTTTCATCACTTTGACTATTTCTTGCCAATAACTTCTAATCTGCAAAGTTTCTTTTGAGATATCAGATGACAGTCTTATGGGAACTCCTTTATGGGTAACTAACTGCATTTCTCTTGCTGTTTTTAAGATCCTCTCTTTATTTTTAACCTTTGGCATTTTAATTATGATTTGTCTTAGGGTGGGCCTTTTTCAATTCATCTTGTTAGGGATTCTGTGTTTCCTGGATTTGTATGTCTATTTCCTTCAGCAAATTAGGGAAGTGTTCTTTCATTATGTTTTCAAATAGATTTCCCATTTATTGCTCTCTCTCTTCTCCTTCCAGCACCACCGTGATGCAAAAGTTGGTATGCTCGTAGTTGTCCCAGGGACTCCTTAGTATCCTCATTTTTTAAATTTTCTCCTTGTTGTTCTGATTGGTTGTTTTTTGCTTTCTTATATTCCAAATCACTGATTTGATTCTTGGCTTCATCCAATCTACTGTTAATTCCCTGTAAACAGTTCTCATTTCAGTTAGCGTATCTTTCCTTTCTGTTTTTTTTTTATGGTTCCCATGTCCTTTTTTATGCTATTGAAGTTCTCTTTGAGTCATCTGTTCCTCCTCTAAGTCCACTGAGCATCCTTTTTACTGGTTTTTTGAACTCTGCATCTAGTAGCTTGCTTATCTCCATTTTGTTTAGTTTTTTTCCCCGGAGTTCTGTTCTGTTCTTTCATTTAGGCCATGGTTGTTTGTCTCCTTGTTTTGGCAGCCTCCCTGTGTTTGTTTCTATGAATTAGGTAGAGCTGCTATGTCTCGTAGTCTTGGTAGAGTAGCCTAATGTAGTAGGTGTACTGTAGGATCAGTGGCACAGCCTCCCTGATCATCCAAGCTGGGCCCTCTAGGTGTGCCCTCACCTCATATGGGCTGTATATACTGTCCTGTTGTAGTTGATCCTTGATCGCTGCCAATGAAGGGCTAAAACCCCAGGCTGACTGGCTGTGAGGACTGGCAGTGACCATAGCAGTGGGTCTGCTTTGCAGACACAAACCCCACAGAGCAGAACTTGCTTCAGTGGAGCTCTGGTGCTCACTTTGTCCGCCCCT